AGCTGCTAGGAGAAGTTGGAAGAATCCTGGGGGATACAGTCCAGAATATTACTGGAGCTTATAAAATTTCTTTGTCCGTAAAAGTCTCCGAGAAGTCCCTTTGCACAATAGTTTTACTTTATTTAGGCTTTGTCTCTGTCCAAAGAAGGTCTATGACAAATTACACTACAGGGCAAACGCACAACATGGATGAAGTATAAATAAAATATAGAAAACAGCAGGGTAGTAATTTGATTGAAATAGAAACCACTTTTTCCAAATAATTCCTTTAAACAAAAATGTTGAAATGTGTTTTAGGTTATTTTTCTTTTTATATAAGGGTAATTCATTCAGCATATATTTAGCAAATAAGGCAAGGGTAGAGAGGATTCAAGGGCTAGAGGGCATGATGCAGGAGCATGGGTTCTGAAGACTGTAGTTCAAGATCATAATTAGGTTTATCTGAAACTGCCAGAACATATCTAAGCCTGTTTGTTTATCCTTAAAATGAGGCTAAGGCGTACTTCATAAGATTGCTTTAAACAGCAAACAAACCTATACAAGTATAAATAGAGTAAATTCATTGCTCAAGAAGAATTCATTGCAGTCTAGGTAAGAAGAAAATCATAATCTAAAGGGAGAGGAATGAGTGTCCTGAGAGTTACAGATAACAAGCTTTGGGAATTCATAAGAAAGATTTTGCATCCAGCTAGGAACAAGAAGAAAGATTTCCTGGAGGATAGTGCATGGTGGGGAGAAGGGGAGGGTCTTGAAGGATGAGTAATATTTAGTATTGTAGATGAGAAAGCGAAGTCAAGGAGTAAAGTGATGGGACATGGTAACAGCCACAGAGAGATGCATCCCCAATTCTACTTCATAGGCTAGCACAGAGGAATAACATCAATAAAAAGCCTGCTACAGTTCTATTCAAACCAATATGCAGGGCAAGTTAGAGAAAGTGACTTTTCATATCCAATTAATGTAATGAATCACACCATGGGTTAGAAGAGATAAAAGCCCAGCTGAGGACCACTTCACTTTCTTCTATACTTGTTCTGAGAAACAGAGGAACTGTCTCTAAGGCAAAGCCCTGGCAGTACCTTGCCCTCCCATTACCCCCAGCTTTGCCAATGATTCTCGCAGCAAGAATGGCTTCAAGCTGAGAATCCAACTGTAGATTTGAACATTCAGGTCACCGTTTACTTGCCTTTTCTACTTCAATCAAGGGCCACCTACAAGAAAAGTCTCATTCTAATTCCTAATGGAAATAATCTTTGTGGTTCAGTAGGCTTGCCAACTGCCATCACGTGGTTTTACTATGTTTCTTTGGTGAATGACAGAAGCTTTTAAAACAAGTTTGGATGCTGAGAAGGGGGATTTTTAGTGACCTGTAATTATTAAAGTGCATCTCATCTTTTTTTAAAAAATAAAATTAAAGAAACAAAAGAGTCCTAGGAAAAATATGTAGGGTGTTAGGAAGGATCAAAAGACAAAGGTTAGAAAGGAGGCGAAAACTGAGTAAGATGTAAAATTAAAAGCCCTGCAGCAATTCCAGGCAGCATAAGGGAAATTATTGGAGTTTCTTTCTCTCTGGTATGTTTTTAAAGGGAAAAAAGTGATTCTCCTGGGAGAGTAACACAGCAAAGAAAGAGGAAAACAGCTGGCTGTGGGCCATGATTTACCATTCACCACAAAATGAGACTCTGTTTCTGCTTCTCAAAGACCATTGTTTTTTCCAAGCAGACACGGGCTCTACTTACACGAAGTCAATTATAATGAAGAGACATAGACATAAGGAAGAGATCTAGACAAATAACTCAGAAGACAGGGCACAGACATAAAAAAGTCAAATTCTACTCTAAGATATTATTAAAACAAAAACTCTGTATAACCAAACAAGCTCCACATCCTAGCAACGGCTCTCCTGCTTCAAACAAAACAAAATATAGCAAAATCTAATTATAAAAACCCTTTGTCTTTGTGATGGTGGGACTGGTAATTAATCCAAATCTGTGCAAATGATGTGGACACCAAGTTCTCCTTTTATAAACCAAGAATCCTATAATAGTATCATCTGCCTAAGTTGTTGTGGAATCAAGACAACCCTCTTTAATTCTTTTTACACAAAATGTTAATGAGAAAAAAAGGTAACATTTTTCATATGCTGGGGGGAAAATTCCTTATGAAATCAACAGTATAAGGGTTTCAGAAGGAAAAAAACACCACATGTTCTAAACCAGATGTCAAATTTAGTTTTATTTAAATAGTTGTGTCTTTGTTCCAACTTCCAACCTGACTTTTTTAAAGGTATGTTCAAACCATTATTTTGTATACCCAAGCCAAAAAGAAGAGAGACTTAAAAACTAGGTACCAAAACAGGGTGAGAAGGCTCTGCTAGTAGATCAGAGATAATCTTGTAATGTTTCCCTCTTCCAGAATGTTAGAAAACAATTTCCAAAGACAATGCAAGTCTCTTTTTGCGATTATGGCTATAACTATGAATTGTATTCCTAGGATCGCCAAATACTTTGTACTGTGATACTTTTTGTCGAATCCACAGGATATCAAGTCTGTCAAGGGTCCTACAAAGGCACAGAGAGGATATGGCTGGCAGTCAAACTGGACATTTTGGGGTCTTTTAATAGTTTCCATTTTATAAGTTGAGGACTCTTCCCTGAGAATCAGCAGTGATGACAAGGTAGTGAAACAAGGATTTGTTACCATCATGGGATTGTAAGAGCCTTGAATTTATGGGATCCTTTTTTCTTTGGGGTGGAGGAAGGAGAAGAGGAGGATTAGAGAAAAGGATAATATTCTTGGTTGGAAAAACCAAGGAGAAAAGATTACACCACATATCAAAGGGCATTTTTTTTTCATAATCCAAATTTTGAAACTAAGAAAATTGTTTATAAATAATGTCTGGATGTTTTCCTTGCAAGGACACTAATTCATAACTTTGGACTTTCTCCTTCAGAATTACTTCTTCTTTGTCCCAAATAATTTCAAAATCACTTTTAAATGTTAACCTCCCCCTCTTTTAAGTACATTTCCTTTTTCAGAGCACAAGGTATAGAGTTCTCATATACCTCCCTATACCTACCCATCCCCCCCCCCCAAATCCTCCTGCTGTATTAATATCCCACACCAAAGTAGTATCTTTGTTACAAACCAATGAACCTACACTGACGCATCATTATCCCCCAAAGTTCAGAGTTTATATTAGGGTTCACATTTGGTGTTGTTCATTCTATGCATTTTTACAAATACATAATGACATGTATCAACCATGTAAGTGGTGTACAGAATAGTTAACTGCCCTAAAAAAATCCTCTGTGCTTCACCTATTCATCCCTCCCTCCCCAAAAGGATGCTGAGTCTTAAAAAAGTAGTTTTGTATCAATATTTGTAAACACAGTCAAGACACCCCCCCCCCCACCATTAACTTAAGTAGCTCTTACCTACTTGAAAAAATAAGCAATGTTCATCAACAGAAGGCTAACTAAGCAGAAAACGAAATGCTTTCCTGGTGGCAAGCGAGATTAACAAAAAAATATTAGCGTCACTTGAAAGCAAAGAATAAGAAACCAAACAGGAAGAGAATAGAATGCAGTCACACTACACTAATAATTTACATTATATTTTCCTGTCCTTATATTCGTTTTCTGAGGGCTGGTTCTAGTCCTAAGTGATCAACTGTTTTTTTACTGCAAGTTTTCATTTTTCAACAGCTTCCTAACCTAATATTTTGCATTTGCCTACGTTTTCAAAAACCCATTTCTGGGCATGAAACAGAATTAATGCTCAATCAAGTCAGGAACTTTGTTTTTAGAAGATGAAATAATAGCAATATTGACAACCACAGTGGGCAAGAGAAGCAAGTTAGGTTCTTCCTCCCTCTCTCTCTGTAGAACTTCCTTCCCTATTTGATAAAGGGCAGCTAGCTTAAATTTACCACAAAGTAAACAGGTTCCAATTCTCTGGAACCAGACCTTTCACAAAGAATGTTACACTAGAATGTGACATCAGCATTCCTTCTGAGTCACATTTGGTGTCCACCCCTTTCTCCCAGGAGACGGTGAAGCTCCCAAATCAGGCAGCAGCCCAGGTAGGGCTGTGGATCCTGAAGCCCCCGGGGCGGCAGAAGGGGCGCGGTGGGCAGCTAGGCTGGAAATGTCTCCTTACGCTAAATCACTAGTGACAATCCCTCGTTTGGGGCTAGCTGCCAAAATGGAAGAACATTTTCTTTGAGAGATAAAGCACTAAGAGGGGAGCAGTGCTTTGGAAGTCAATAATGAAGAAGAAGGAGAAGGAGAAGGAGAAGGAGAAGGAGAAGGAGAAGAAGAAGAAGAAGAAGAAGAAGAAGAAGAAGAAAGAAGAAAGAAGAAAGAAGAAAGAAGAAGAAGAAGAAAGAAGAAGAAAGAAGAAAGAAGAAAGAAGAAGAAGAAGAAGAAAAAGGAAAATCACTTTTCACGTTATCACCAGCCGCGAGTACTAAGGATATGCATTAAATGAACTCTCACTTTTGAGAGCCACCCTCAGCGAAGATGGGAGGGGAGGAGGTCTGAACTGTCAAAGTCACATCAGTGCTCCTAAACCACAAAGGCTTAATAAAGTTGAACTTCCTGAGACAGGAAGAAGTGTCACGATCTCGCCCGAACTCGCCCTGCCCTCATCCTTTTTTTTTTTTTTTTTTTTTTTCCCGTAGGTAGGCACAGGCGTAGCTGAAACATACTAAAGGGAAGTTTCAAATACTTCCAACCGTTGGACATGGTTAGATAAGGAGAAATGTCCCGCTCCTGCTCTGGCTCTCGTGCCCACTCTCCGTCGCTCCCGGATTTCAGGAGTTAGCGGGGCTGCCAGGCACCCCCGCTGCTGGAGAGACGGGTACCTGGGCCAGCAGTGCGGGAGACCCAGAGCCAGCTCGCGCCGGGCAGCCTGTGCACCCCACCTGCCACCCGCAGCCAGGGGGCGGCACCTGCGCAGGTGAAACCGGCTGCTGCCCGCTGTCGGCGCCCCCCTACCTTCTTCACTTTGGCCTCCAGATCCATGTTTGTGTGTCAAAGGAGGTCCTTCTCCTGCCCGGGATCTCACGCTCAGGATCGCCGGGCCTCCGGCTCCTCTGAGGGTACTGGGAGAGGATCTGCCCGGACTCCAGCGCCGCTACCGGAGCCACTCTCCTCTCGACCGGCGCCGTCAAACTTCCGCCGCCCAGTCCTCCGCAGCCTTCCTGCTGCGGGGACCCGGGAACAAAGAGGCCCAGGCAGCCAATGACAGCTGAGCAGCGCCGGGCGGCCGCCAATCACCGAACGCCGCACGCACCTTCGCTGCCCAAGCCGGTCTCTGGCAAGGTGAGGGGCGGGGCCGCGTTTGGGTAACTCCGACCGGTCTCTGCGGGTGCACGTAGCTGATGCAGATTCTCTAGCAAAGAAATTGGGGACCACCCAACCCCTATCCGAAGATGAGGAAGACCTCTTTCCAGTCTGGCAGCTTGTACCTGTGTTTGCCTGAGACCTTAGATATGTGTCCTGGGCAGTCCTTATCTCACTGTTAGCTTCTTGGTTTATTTTCGGGGCAAAGAGAAGAGATAGTGGGGACTTTTAGGGATTTCTGTGATGGGCTTGCACCCTAGTTTCACTATTGAGTTATAGAGGTGGCCAGGTCTCAAATGCTATTGTCCATAACCCCAAGCACTGGCAAAGAACTTCATCTCACAGCCCTGATCTATAATATATATAGGTTTCGCTAGCATTCAATTCAATTGTTCAAAAACAAGGATGATGTGAATCACTTCAAAGACAGTTGTGTCATTCCTTTGGAAGTGGAGGCTTCCCCATTTGTCCCTGCTACCTGAAATGATGTGAGGCTGCTCCTGTTCTCATGCCTTGATGAAGTTACATAGGCATAGCAAACAGTACTAGAGCAGCAGAGCTATTTCATGGCCTCATTCTGGAGTGATCACAATGAATGCCGTCGGATTTCTGGGTCTGGAAGGGAGCCTAGGGATTACTGAGTCTAGCTTTCTAATTTTTCTAGGAACTGAGGACCACAGAGGCGTAAGGATCTGCCCAATTTCTTTCTTGGAGGCAGGGCTAGTGCTCATGAGTCTAAGGGATGCCTCCAACATGTTTGGAAACATAAACACAGTATGCTAAGCAAAAGACAGGAGCCCACTTCTTTTTCAGTTTGTGGTAATGACAAAAAAACTATAATGTGCAGCCAAAAGGTGACCTAATCAAGCATTATTAAAAAAAATTTTTTCCCTAATGTAGATATCTGGATATAGATCTCTCTTCCTTTGCCTCCGAAAATTTGGTATAGGAAACACCCAAAACTCATTTTAGCCACCACGCTCAACCCTTTGCTTACTTGGCTATTCGTTAACATTGTTCAACAGAGCATTGATTTATAATGTGCATGTTTTTCTTATCCTATTAATAAACTAAATGACCAAACTGGAATGACCAAAATGGTTTGTGAATTTTTTCATTCTAACTCAGTTGAAGTAAAACTTTTTCATCCCATTTTCCCAAACTATCCTAACATATTTAGGCCTTTACAAAGTTTACTGGATATAAGCTCCCTGAACATGATGCTTAGCAATGACAAAGCAATTTGGTCTCTTTCAGGGAGCTTGACAGATGGAAAATGTCCAATAAAACAGTTTAAATAAGACATTAAACAAATGTCATGACATAAGCCCATTTGGGTCTTATTTGGTGAGATTTAGGAGATGACATTAAGAAAAGATATGGAGACTTTTTTTTTTGACCCATCAAATTCTACTTTCTCCCTCTTTTTCTTCCCAATCCTCCAGCATCATTTTGTGTTTCTATCATTAGCAAGGATGGAAGTTGATTTCCATCTGGAATCCACTGTGCCAATATTATAGAAGATAAAATTGAAGTGGATAAGCTTTAATTTAGGAAGATTAGATTGTGAGTCCTTATTTAGCAATTCAAGTGTTAAGCTAGAGAGATATTAAGGAGTTAGAACTGGCAATGTTTACTAGATATAACTGACAGAGAAATGAGTAGAAGGCAGCACACATGTTTCTGGTTTCATCACTTATGTAGATGTTTCAGGAAAAGATAAAACGTAGGATGATTGGCAGGATTTTGTTTAGTTGAACTTTCTTTTAAGGGTGGAGGATAAATGTTCTGTTCTGAATATATTGGGTTTGAATTTGGAATATGGAAGTGAAGTATCCAAGGAGAAATGTTGGGGATAAGAGCTGGGCTGAAATAGTGATTTAGAACTCAACATCCTGTGTAGTTAAATATCTGAAAGCCATGAATATAGTAAGATCAGAATGAGAGACTGCAAAATAAAAGACAGTATCAATAAGTACAATTGAGCAAAGCTGAGCAAGAGAATCATAGAAAGGAGATGAGAGCCAGTTAGAATGTAAGAAAAAAAGTTTTTTCAAGTAGAGTTCCAGCAACCAAGATAGGAAATTCAAGAAGAAATTAGTCAACAACGTCAAATTGTAGAGAAAGGATGAATCTGCATTGGATTTAACAAAAAGGAAATCATTGGTAAACTTGGGAAATGCTAGCATATCCCACTTGAAATAGGATAAGGACCAAAATAAAGCAATAGCAATGGGTATGGAGAATTGGAAGGAATAATCAATGATACTAAGGAGGTAGAAAATATTGGAATTGATTGGTTTGTAAAGAGGGAAGATAAAAAGTCCAGAATGACTCTTAGGAATCTATTTTAGGTGAATGGTATGGTGGATATAACTCACTCCATAAGGTAAGAAACAGAAGAGAAGGAAGATTGAAAAGGTGATGGGTTTAGCTTTGAATGTGTTGATTTTTCTTTTTAAAAATTTTTTTTTTGTTTTATTTATTTTTGAGACAGAGAGAGAGCACGAGTCGGGGGAGGGGCAGAGTGAGAGGGAGACACAGAATCTGAAACAGGCTCCAAACTCTGAGCTGTCAGAACAGAACCCGATGCAGGGGTTCCAACCCACAAACTGTGTGATCATGACCTGAGCCAAAGTTGGACGCCTAACCAAATGAGCCACCCAGCACCCCTGAATGTGTTGAGTTTTCGAGGGCAGTTGGATTGAGTCTGGTGGTCCAAAGAAGGATGTGGGCTACAGATCCAGATGGCTGATCATAAATACACAGGCACACACACATACGTATACACATATACACATATGCCTATAAACAAGCACAGACACTCTAGAAACACTAGGGAAGGAGTTTTCTATACAACTGCAGTAAACTTTCTAGATAGATGATTATACCTATCTCCTCAATTAATGTTGTCCCAGAAGTCCTCTTTAGAAATGTTAATTATCTGTTAACACATGTTAGAAGAACTGTGCTCCTGAGATAGCTATTATTGCTCATTAGCAGCTCGTGTAGGATTACACATTGTTCTATAGGGATATACCAACATTTCTCAGAGCAAACTATTCCTTGTAGAATTTTTTTTTACATTGACCAAACATTGGGCATTAGCTAACTTAGTAATGGATAACCCATATGATAGATTTATTATAGGTTCTACATGATATTACTTAAAAATTTTTGTAATAGTGGACAATGATTATGTTATGAGAACAAAATAAAATGTAAGATTATATATACATTATGCTCACAGCTATGAAAAAATACCTTGCACAGAAAAGAAACATGAAGAAAATGCACTAAAATGTCAGTAGTGTTTGTAGTTGATTGGTGGGTCCATGGGGATTTTTTTCCTTCCTTCCTTAAAAACAAGCAACAATGAATTATAAAGATCAAATTCAATACAACGTTAGCATAAGAAAAAAAGAGAAAATGAAGCAGAATAACTTCCCAGTTGATAATGAGAGAATATCAGAAAAATGTGTCCACAAAACAGAACACGACTGTATGCTATTATTTTAAAACAAAGTAAAAGCCATTAATAAGTTAACATGTCAGGAGAGAGCCATACAAAGGAGAATTAGAAAAACTCAGAAGAGACTCAGAAAGGAATTAGAAATAAAGAAAATAATATTACATAAAGACTAAGCAGAAAAGAATACAAGGGCAAAACTGATGATGCCTGAGAAAAATAGGTAAAAAAGAAGATATTTTATTTCTAAAAAATCAAAAGGAAATGAAGGAAAAAAGAGAAAATATTCCAGAGACAGTAACAAACATTGCAAGTAGGATAAAACAATGGAGCATATGAATGGAATGAGTTCCTGAACAAGAAAACCAAGTCAAAGAAACAAACAAATACTAAAAACTGTAATCAAGAAAACTTTCCTGAATTAAAAAATATATATTTGAAACTACATACTGAAAAATCATACTTTACTTCTGAATTAACGCAAAATAACTGAAAACTAAGACATATTTTAGTAAATTACCAGACCTTGAAGAATAATGAGAAAAAAGTCCTTGGGATATCTAGGTTTAAAAAGAACATGACTTACAAGGAGAATAAAATTATATTATCATCAGACTTCTTCTATAGAAATCTAGATCAGAAGAAAGAGTAATATATTAAAGATATTCCAGAAAGATAGTATGAGCCAAGGATTTTATATGAAGTGACTTTCAAATTTAAATATCACAAACTTATTAACATAGAACCTAGGAAATATATTTCTCATGAACCCTTCCTGAGGAATCTTCACAGGGCTATTTTCTCTGTGTGTGTGTCTGAACCTCCCTCTTCTTTCTCTTATGAAGAGACCAGTCGTTGGATTTAAGACCCACCCTGATCAAATGTGACTTCATGTTAACTAATTATAGATGCAAAAATCCTATTTCCAAATAAATCACATTCTGAGGCTTCAGGTGGATATGAATTTTGGAAGGACACTATTTGATCTAATAAGGTGAGGGGAACAAAAGCAACATGGCCACAATAACACTTATATTCGTAAAACAAACAAACCTATTTATTGCCATTGTTCCACAGCAAACAGTATTCCTGCAGAATTGGGAATATGACAATTAATTTTATTGTTAGTAACTTTAACTTTACTTCCATTTTAGATACACTGGATTACTACTTATGGGAGGCTTTTCCTTATCCATTGTCCCCTAGGGTGAAATTCTTGAAAGGCATTGTTTGAGATATTCTTGCCGGAGAGCTGTCCTGCCATAAGAGTGCCTTTTTGGAGGATTGGGGTGTTTGGGACAACTCAAGGGAAAAAGTGATAGGGCACTTATTTCAGGGGAACTTTAAATCAGTATTTCTCAATCAGGATA